CATGCCCAGAACGGGGGCTCCAAGCAGTCAGCCATACCATTTCATTGTAAGTGGGGTTGCAGGTTTTTCGAGCCACTTTGGTTTTCCTTTTAGTGGTCTTCTGGGGATCAGGCAGCAGATAGATCTTGACATAAGGGTCAGGGTCATTCCCATCCTGGATAGGCTGCTGTAGGAGAGAGAGACCAAATAAATCCCAGTTATTTCCACCATACCAGCACATGGAGCCAGAGCTGGTGTGGTGCCTGCTGCTGCTGGTGTGCATGGCACTTACCAGGCCTCGGATGTGCATCACCATGATGAAGAGCTTGTTGTTCTTGTAGGAAATGGAGAGCTTCACCTCCCCTCCCACCTTCCCAATGGGGCGAGCCCATGTGGCATCTGAAAGAGGTAGAGGAGGGGATCACTTAGCAGAGCTCCTGGAGGGATGGAGTTGCCTAGCACAGCACAGGGGCTGGAGACAGGCCTCAGCGTGGCCCAGCAACCATATTCACGACAACTTGTGAGCACCGAGCAGCAAGGAACTTAAACGGTATTCCTTGAAGAGGCCATTTCCAGCCCTTCCGTTCTCCTGCTTCGCAGCATCACATGGGTGTATTTACCCCTCATGGTTAAGTGCAGCACAAGACAGGTGCAGTGGAGCAGGAGAGCTACCCCTTCCCTGCCATACCCGTTACACACCAGCCTCTCCACCCAGACGGGACCCATTATCAGCACAACCAGAAAAACTTGCAATACCTGCAGGCTTGGGAGCCGGGCTGGTGCCTGCAGCCTTCTCATCCCGTGGCAGGGGGTGAAAGAACGTATACACGAGGTCGCACTGCAAGGCAAGCAGAGCGGCTTTTATTACATGCCGGAGGTCTTTCTCTGCTCAGCAGTGAGCTCTGTACACTTCAGAGCCAGACACAGCACAGAGCACACAGTAGCGTTTCAGGCAAGAATGGCAACCTATCACTGCTTCAGAGGGCTCTGACTGAGCACAGCCTGCAACGCTCTGCCACCAAAGCCAGAGCTTTTCTCCTTCGCTTACAGAGGGGGAAACTGAGGCCTACTATCTTGCCCACCTGAGTCACTAGAAGAAGCTGGAATAGGATCACTGGCTTCTTGCCTGATCACTAGACTGCAGTCCCTCCTACCACCCACTCAATGAGGTCAATGTTCCTGGTTCCCTCCAGTGCAGGGCAAGGCCCGTACCTCTGTGACCTCGGGTGCCGAATGAATAAGGTGCCAGATGTAGCCATTCAGCTCCTCCTTCCTCCTCTCAGCCGCGGCCTCCCCTCGTGACCGGCCGATCACAAACCTGCTGGGGAAACTGTCCGGTTGTGGAGGGGGAAGAGAACAGAGATCAGTTAGCAAACCTGAGGGCTGCATAATGCACCACTGAAGCTGCCCTGCTCCTCCATGCTGTGTTCCCAAGAGGGACCACTTCTCGTGGCCAAGGAGCCTAGAGGACTTTCCATGCCAAGCTGGGTGGGTGCCACCTGGAGCAGGGGAGAGCTGGGAAGCTGCCTGTGGGCTGGAATCTGATGGGTGCCATGCAGGCACAGGAGAACCAAGCTGGCTCCAGGTGGGTTGGATGTGCTGTGAGCCACGGAGGGCTATAGTGGGCCAAGCCCAGACTGGGTCAGGCTGTGCTTAGGGTGGAAAGAAACAGTCTGCGGAGGAGAGCTGCATTCACAGGTGCAGCCTAGAGCCAGGGAGAGCCAAGAAGCAAGGCACAGTCTGCTCCCTCCCACTGGCACATGGGTAAAGGCAACACCCACTGCAGCTGCAGAGCAGCCAATGCCTCTTCCCCCTTCCAAAAGAGGTGGTGCCAAGGAGAGCACAGGGGGAGCGGGGTGGGCTACCTGGGCAGCTGGGAGGATGGGAAGAGGAGGCGTAGCTTGTTATGCAGCTCCTGAAACTCCTCGAAGGTGCGCTGGATGTAGGCGACCTCGTGGGGGCTCTCTCGCTGCACCTGCACGACGTACATCTGCGGGACCGGGAAGCAGAACCACCTGTGAGCTGAGCAGCTCGCCGCAAGCTCTGCTACATGGCCATTGCTCACATCATGGTGTGTGATGGGAGCAATGCGACCCACGTCAGGGAAGTCAAAGTAACACCCAGCGTGAGAAACACGCGGTGCAAGACCCAGTCAGACCCACCATGCATGCCCTGAGCTGGAAGATGCTGAGAAATTAAAATGAAAGGGCTCTTTTTGATGTTGTTTGAGGCTTGGGGAAGGCTGGGGGAGGCTTTCAGGCCTGGAGCAGGGACTTGAAGGGAGAAAGGATTCAAACCATCTCTAAGGACCTCAGGGAAGAGAAAGTGTGAGCACTGGGCTCCAGTCATGGGCTCTGAATGGAGCAAGCACTGCCATCCAGTGTTTGTTTGCATATTCCCCTGCCATGAGGGGCATACATGGGTCTCCTTGCTTGAAACCCCTCACCACTCCCAGCCCAGCCAGGATGAAGTGAAAGCTGCTGCAGGATTATGCTGGTCTCCGACGTCTCATCTCCTGTGACAAAGCCTAGGGGCCAGAGACCAGGCTCCTGCGCACGGCCCCTCCCCTGCTCTGATCGCCCACGGCACCACTCACATAGCCCTTGCTGGGGTTGAAGACCTTCTCGTGGCGGCAGAGGAAGATGTCGCGGATCCGGCCGGACGCCTTGAGGGTGTGCGTGCGGGGAGCAAAGGAGAGCGTGGGGCGGGCATCAGAGCCCGTGAACTTCATCTGCGCAAGGTTGTGGATGAAGAAGTTGAGTTTGGTGGCCACGCTGCCCAGGCTGGACTCGATCAACCTGTCACAGAGGACAGCAGGGTCTAGCTGATCCTAGGCACCCTGTGCTCAGGGCTCCTGCCGTGCAGAGCGCTAGACTCTTCCAAGAGCACAAGGGCCCCTCACCAGGGCTGCTGG